AACATAGATATGAAAACAGGCAACATGTCGAAAACATCCAAAGAAACATAACCATGATCCAGGAGCCAGGAGCTTAGGCAGCTCCAATGCCTGCCCACCACTTATAGACAGAAGGAAGCAGGGAACTCAAGCTGCCATGGTCATGGCTCACCAAACACTGCTGTGTCAGATAAACAATGCCACCGCATGCCTGTGGCTCAAGCAGCAGAGTCTCGAGGTAACTTTCCAAGCATAGGTTCAAATTTCTTTTGCTCTTCCAGGCCAAACTATACTTTATAGGAAATGTCTCCTGACAGCTGGAGTCCTAAAGAAATTATTTCAGCCTACAATCATGCTTAGTATTCAGGAGACAGGACTGAGGCAGTCTTTTGTGCCTGGGAAATCAAACATCAAAATAAAGAACTATGGTTCTGGCCTGAAGACCAATCACAAAATAAAGCAAGCTACTTTGCAAACTACCAGAAGTAAGGAAAGCTCCTGCTGTGACAATCATTCACAGTCAACACTTAGGGAATTCACTCTCTTAGTGACAGCATACCTCTATAACCTATTGCTAGGCCTTCAGAAGAACAAGATGGAAAAGACAAGGAATTGTTGGGATTTGTTCTGCACCCACCCAGCCCTAATTAGAAGCTGCACTTCACTTGAGAAGGGAAAAGAACAACCAAGTGGTCTTATGTGCCTGTTGAGTCTGCTGTCCAGGTTGCTCGCTATGTTTGGACAACTTTAAGATCCTTTATGCAAAGAAGTAGCAACATTAGTCTGTCTTAGTATGCTGGCAAAATGAGAGAGAGAAGCAAAACATTTTGGTACTTTAAAGATTAACAGATTGATTTCAGTGTGAAATCTACTTCTTCAGACACTGGAGTGCAAATAAATATCTGTGTATTTATGCAACTATCCATGACAAGATGAGGACACAAATAACAGACAAAGTAACTACAGTTTGTTAGCACAGGAACAGCACCATCAAGTTATTAATTACTTGAATTTAGCAGGTCCCAGCCAGGGTGAGACACTATATGTCAGGTAGAATTGGCTGTCAGAGGGATACTAAGAGTTGTTTCCTGGATAAAGGCCAGAAACTATTGAGGGAGACAATTATTTCATAACCACAGAATATTGCAGAAAACTGGGTATAAATATATGCAGAACATTAGAAAGCTTTGATCTCTATTTGGCCCTTATAGATCCCTGATTTCCTTCCCAGTGGTTCTTTATCTCTAAATCAGATCTGGACTGGTCATGGTCACAACTTCAAATGGAGGGCACTTTCAGAAAGAGGACTTTCCTTTATAAAAGAGGACATGCGAGCCCACTATACAGCATCAGCCCTTGCTTCTGCCCTTCAGATGTTTCTTCTCCCGACCTCCAAAGTGCCCACTGGCTTTGCTGACTGGGGCTGATGGGAACTGGCCCAAAACATTTTGGAGACTATCAGGTTGAGAAAGTGACATTACTGTCTTGCTTTTGCTTCCCACATGTCTCAAATAGGAACAGAAAAATTACACTATAAAATAGGGTTCATTAGATCTAAAACCTGAAAATACTTTCCACTTCAGATTAAGATACACAACAGCATCCGAGTAGCACAAAACGAAGCACTCCAAAGTGTTTCTAGCTTTTTGGGTGAAAATACCCTTATTCTTGTCATAGGACTTTAATTAGCATCAAATCAGGTCCTCACACTCACCCATATCTTGCCCTACTCACTGCTTTTGGTGTCGTCTTGCCTGATTCAAGGATCTCGAAAGCTTGCACCATTTTGTGAACTTCAGTTGGCCCAGCAAAGAAAAGGGTTTTGGGGGGAAGCCTGTACTATCTCTGTTGGGAAGGTGTGAATGCTCTTTCCAGATGCTTCTGCTCCAAAGTCTGAAAGGAAGTGTGACTGAGAAAAGGCTTCTGGGTAAGCTGGCATCCTCTCCAGCAACCCTTGTGACAAGCTCCTTGGACTAGGACTGCCAAACTCTGCAGTGCCCAGCCTGGGGACGAATCCGATTGTAAGAGTCAAAAGCTAACCAAATAATACTTGGCTGCAGAGCCAGAGGTTGGGAATTCAATCCCCCCCCCACCGGTTTGTCTCAGGAGAAGAGCCAGCCTGTGGGCAAGCTGAGGAATCCCTGGGCGCCAGAGGGAATGGGACCCTAACCCTCTATCTCGAAAACACTAGAGTGTCTTATAGACCAGATGGGCGGGGGTACAAATCAAATCAAACAAACAAACAAACACTGGAAACTGACATCACCAAGTAATTATTGTTAACAAAGCTAACATCGATTCTTCCTATTGGATTTTTCTTAAGGACCTAATGTTTCTTTCTCCCCCTCTCTTTTTTTTTAATGGGGCCTTAGCATCAGCCAGTCGGCTTCCTTCCAGCTCTAGACCAGATGGGCGGGGGTACAAATCAAATCAAACAAACAAACAAACACTGGAAACTGACATCACCAAGTAATTATTGTTAACAAAGCTAACATCGATTCTTCCTATTGGATTTTTCTTAAGGACCTAATGTTTCTTTCTCCCCCTCTCTTTTTTTTTAATGGGGCCTTAGCATCAGCCAGTCGGCTTCCTTCCAGCTCTCCCCCCCCCCCCCCCCCCTGTTTTTTTCCCGCAAAATTCCCACTGGGAATTCCAAAGGCGGCGAGTATCCGGGCAACAGGCTGCGGGAAACCACTTGCCGGAAAGCCGTCGGAGCCGTCCTGTTCGCGTCGCCCTCCGGAGAGCGCCCCCACTGGACGAAGGGAGAAATGCCCTTGCCCCGCTCGCCTTCCTCTCTCCCAGGGCTAGTCCCGGGCGCAGCCGGCGGGGGCTTTTTTGGAGCGCGGCAGCGAGGGTCGCGCCACAAGGGGGGGGGGAAGGGTGAACAACCGGTCCAGCTGCGCACAGACTCTGTTGCGTCCAGCCAGCCGCTCCTTCGGCGGCAACTTTCCGCTGGGGATCCAGTCCCATTCCCTGGAGCCGCTCCCAGTGCTGGGAGTGGTGCGGAGAGCAGAGTGAGGAAGAAAGCGAGTCGCTTCGGCGCGGTGCTGGCTCCGATCGCTCCCTCCCACCCTCCCTGTCGGCTTCCCTTCCTCCCTCCCTCCTTCTGGCTGAAAATGATACCGCTCCGCGCTCGTTCGGGCTCCTCCGGCTCTCTTGCAAGCGCACCTGAAGGCCGGCGAGAGCGATCGCGATCCTCACCCCGCCTCTCCCCGGCTGGAGCGATTAAAAGAGCCGCGCGATGCCGCCGGGATCTGATGCTCTCTGACGGGAAGCGGATTCTGTCCGGACGGCTGCCTCCGGGC